CAAGTTTGAAAAGGGCTTCAGTGTCTTAAATGTATTCCTCTTTGCCCCACCCCTCACCTCGACGGCTCTGCTCAGTTGCACCACAACAGGTTTGACTGGAAACCCTCTCACGACCCGTTTGAAATTCAACGAGAGGCGTGTTTGGGCACGAGTGTTTTTTCATGTGCTTTGCCTCTAGCGTAACATGAATTAATTGTTAAAGTGTAATCATTTCGGTGTCTCACCTGGTGGTCGTTTAGCACGGCAGGAAATATACAGCGCACATAAAATGTAGCTGCTAATCTAAAATGATTTTCTCCTGCAACAGTTATCTTTGCACAGTTGAATTAGTGCCCCATAAGAGCTTTGTCTTTGCTCACTTGTGAATAAGCCACATTCATCCAAGGTAAAATAGAAAGTGTTATGTCTATTCGTCTGTTAGAGTAGAAATTAGAGAGTGCAAATAATCAAACGATGAACGTATTTTTCAAAGATTAAACAGCAGCACTCTTTTCAAAGGACTGTTGTTTGCAGACCGTTGGAGCTGACTCTCATCCGCATACTTGTGTTTAGGAGGTTGGCGCTCTCGTGTTTTTTGGAGCCGGGAACGCTGCAGCTGTCGAACAGACGTTTGTCGAGCGCGGGTTTACTGGAGAGCCTGAGGAGAGGGCAGCGAGGCTTGGGTTTCTGTTTTCTTTATGGATCAGATGACCTAAGATGGTGTCTCGCAAAAAAGAACGTGGCGAATCAGAGAAGCGGCCCCTCTGAAATCCCGGGCTGATGAGCTCGGACCTCTTATTTCTCAACACGCATGCACACACGCTGCCTCGTTTGTCATCTGAAAAATTAATCTAGAAGGCAAACAGTCCCTCTTTTGTACGCGGGGCTCTGTCTCCTGTGGCTGGTATCCAGTTCTGTAACGAGCAGCAGCTGGCTCAGAGGCCTGTACTCGGGAGCTGCATCCCTCACCCTGATGAATGTGTCATTTGTTGCTTGTTTAGCAGTCGCTTTTGTTCAGACTCTGAACCATCCTCTCTCTCTCTCTCACACACACACACAACACACACACACACACACACACCACACACACACACACCACACACACACACACACACACACACAAAAAGCCTGAACACACACAATACTCAGCTACAGTTTGTGTAGCCCACTTAACTAATGGTGCAAAACCTAGGCCTTCATGACTATTAGGTTTTGGAAAGAAAGGAAAATGGTTCTTGGAAGGCATTTGGACATTTGTAGCCAATGAAAGTTCTTGCATTCTTGTGTAGTATTTAATAGTAGTTCCTGTTACACCGCAGTCATCAAATGCAGGTTGGATGACTTTCCCCCTGTGGTTTTTTTTAGTGCTTTATCTGCAGGAGTAGGGCAGTAATAATGCTATGACTTCACAGTGGACATCCAAGCCATATGAAGTGATGTCTGCTGATGACTTAAGTGGAAATTGTAGCTCATCTTCTACCAACTCAAAGAAAATGTAGGTTATTGCTGGTTCTTTTTTTTTCTTCTTGTGTCTTGCATATAGAATTTTTTTTTTTATTCAGGCAAGTGCTTTATTTCATGGTGGCTGCAGTCAAATTTCCGTCTCCTCCTCCCTCCTCCAGCTTTCCTAGTCACTGTATCTTCATAATTGGTGTGTCAGTGAGCGTGGAATGTAGGAGAAACTGTTTATCATAAACTACAGCACAGAAGCATTTTTCTTTTGTTCCCCTGAGAAAATATTCATGATAGAGTAACATCTCCAGAATTGGGCTGTAATGCACACTCAATGTTTTTCTTAGTCCCCTCTGTGAATAGAACAAATCAACATCAAGAAAAAATATTGAATGTCACACTTTGCCAAAATCACTGGCTGGGTGAAAAATAGTTTCTCTTCTTGGTCCCCTGAAGTCTATTTTTTTTTCTTTCTTTTTTGTCCTTGTTTTTCCCCTTCAATGGCCTCTTCCCCCCTCTCAGCTAGTGGGTTTCCTGTCCAAACTGGAGCAAACCCAGAATGTCCAAAGAAGGATTGGGTCCAGTAAGAGTAGGAGGACCAGTCAGTGACGAACAGAGAGTCACACACAACAGATGTCTGTCTTTAAGCACAAATTGTTAATACAAATTTGATACTATATGAGTGTGTCAATTGAGGCACTTGTGATTGTGCATTGGCAGAGTTAGAAAACACCAATATAAGGGGAAGGAAGCATGAACACGAGCTAGTTTGGCCTTCAAGTTGAACAAAAGAACATTAAGAACCTGATATGAAGGCTAGAGGAAAATAAGGAAAGGAGGAGTGAGAAATCCTCTGATTGCATGATAGACTGAAATTTGATCTTTAAAGCTTGAAGTTTGAGCCAGAGGACTAGTGAGTACACTGAGAACAGGAATGCACATTAGGATCATAAGGTACTTTCAAATGGTTCTGTATCTTTTGATGAAAGAATCCACTACCAGAGTCACGATTAAATTACAATTGTTCCCATGGTTCTGTCAAAATGAGTAATCAGACAGGTTTTAGAGCAAAGGTTCTGAATGGACACAACATCTTTAATGTTTTTTTTTGTACTCAAGATAGAAGTGCTTGAGTGTTTTTACGTACCTATAGCTATTAAGCATGCTTACTGTGTATCTGTCTCTTGTAATGTCACTGACTTGCCGAGCTGGAGAAAAGAGGGTGAAGGGAGGGTGGAAAATGCACACGCTCACTGAAAACAATGACAGACTGAAAGTGGGTTAGGGTCACTGAGTTTTTGTAACGACTGGGCAGTTATATGCTATAATGCTGGGGAGTGATACTTTACAGCTTTATTAATTGAAACAGTTTGCACAGTTACCTCCTGTCATACATTCAATTCAAATCTGTGGACATGAATATTCGCATGTTTTGTTTCACTTCCTGTCCATGTATGCACTATTACACTAAAGTCACAGAGCCCAAAAACATATCCCCTGCTAATCTGGGGTGAGTAACCCTGTCGAAAAACATTTTATGGTAGGTCATTTGTGGCCACAACAAAGTCCGACCTGAGAGAATGATTTATTAGAATTAAAATAAGCGCTTCTCAGATTGTTATTTTTTTGCATAAAATGTATCAAAGCATGTAATTAAACATAGTAAGTATGTGAGGTGTAAATGCCTTAATTTCATCTGTTTTATCACAGTTTTAAACATGATGAAGTCCTCAAGGACAAAGTAAAAGAAGATTATTGTGAGGCACAGTTGGTGGAGGAGGCACACTTATATTAAACAAACTCTGAAGCAGATGATGACGAAAACCCACCGCTCCTTCTGTTTACTAGGATCCATTGCCCAAACTGTCAGTATCTGCTTGGGAACTCTCGTTAAACTCATCAGGTTTGTTATCTGGATCCCAGGTGTGGTGAGCACTGGCCCTGCGTGGAGTAAGATTTCACAGCCTTTTCTACCCACACAATAGCAGTCAGATGAACAGAGCACTGCCTCGGGCTTGGTGACAGTCTGATTCATATTATGTACGGGGAAAAGTCGTGTTACATAATCAAAGCAATCACAGTTAACTGTTAAAGATAAAAGTACTAGTGCTAAATTGTGTAGATTCTTTTCAACAAAACCCTTTTTAAGAGTAGTTTCCTGCCGGTACATAAAATGTTCAGTCAATAATGAGATGCCTAAAATTAAAACTTTAATTACCTTACTTTAAAAAGGTCAACGTTAATGAGTCTGCATTCAGCAGGATATAAAGGAAGCTTTTTAGAGAGAGGAATGCAACTGCTTTTCCCATAGTTGGAGGCCTGTTAGTCATTGTAAAATACAGTATGTCAGTAACACTGGAAGAACCTCTGGTGACATGTTTTTCCTGTCCCAGTAACCCCCGAGAACCATGGGAACTGTAAATATAAGTATGCAAAAATCCTCTCCTTTGCCTCGGGCTGGTGGCCACACGGACCATGAGACTGTTTTAACATGGAGGAAAATTCACTTAATGCCCATTAGCCGAGGGCATTATGGAGCCATTTTTCCACGTCTCGGACAGGAATTCCCATTAAAGATCATTCATTTAGACCCACTGTGATAATTTCTTTTTTTCAGAAGGATTTCTAAAGGTCTGTGCTGGGTGCATGTAGCACGATAACAAGTGAGGCACTAAAGAGATGTTTTGCACACTACTGATGTGCTACAGGCATGGAAATGATGGCTTCCTTGCTCCCCCCCCCATTGTGATTCTTGTACATCTTCAGACCCTGACTCAGATTTTCTCCTGCTGATTAAGTTACAGTAACTTCTTCAGTCAGTGAATGTGTTGAATGGCCAATCAACCCAACTGGAGTGTCTAAAAAATGTAATCTTTTGTCAGAGTATAGTTACCATTATATGTGTTCTAAGTCTTTATGCCAAGACAGAGGCTTTTCCGTTTTTTGTTTTTGTTTTGATGAGTGTTTATACAGTTGTATGTTGCGGTACATGGATAGGCAACCGCACATGTATGTTTTAGTATAATGTATTCATTATTTCAGTTTACTGAAATGATTGCTATTGCTGTTATCTTCAAACAGGCACACTGTGAATTATTACAGCTGAACTTGGTTCGGCATCAGACACAATAGTGCAATAATTGCCAGGATTTTGTTTTCCTTAAACTGATAGTGAACTCCTGCTGCTCATGTCTGCTTCCAGCAGCCAGAGGGGTTATGCTCTCAATTCCTCGGAAAGGGCTTTCTTTAACAACATGGCTTTACTGTTAATTATCCTGTGACTTAGGAAACTAAAGGTTGGCTTAACCGAATTATCCAAAGGTACAAGATCAGTGAATAATATGTATGATCTCAAGGTCAGACTTAAGATAATTACTCAAGGGGTACTGTGGGAAAATAACACTACTTATCGTCAGCTATGATTTTTACAACCACTGCCATTCATCCTTTCCATTTTTTCAGATTGTTTATATACTTGCCAGGTTCATTTGCATATGTATGTTTTAATCCTAAATCCCCTCTATATATTATCCATTTATCACCTCTAATGCCCATTTCTTTTCTTTCAGGATTCCGCAAAATCAGCCTTGATGATCTGCGCAAGGCCTACATTGTCAAGGATGTGCAGCAGTACATCCTCCACAGGCTGGACCAGGAGGAGGCCCTGAGGCAGCACCTGACCAAGGAGACAGCCGAGATGCTCAACCAACTCCACATCAAAAGCAGTGGCTGCTTCCTCTACCTGGAGCGTGTGCTGGATGGCGTGGTGGAGAACTTTATCATGCTTCGCGAGATACGTGACATCCCTGGCACTCTCAACGGCCTCTACCTGTGGCTCTGCCAGAGACTATTTGTCAGAAAACAGTTTGCCAAAGTCCAGCCCATCCTTAATGTAATCCTGGCCACTTGCAGGCCACTCACGGTCAAGGAACTGTACCACGCAGTCTGGACCAAAAACATGACACTGACTATGGAAGAATTTCAGAAAAAGATGGACATTCTCTCCAAGTTGTTGGTTGATGGCCTTGGGAGTACTAAAATCCTTTTTCACTACAGTTTTGCAGAGTGGTTACTGGATGTTAAGCATTGTACCCAGAAGTACTTGTGCAATGCAGCAGAGGGACATAGGATGTTGGCAATGAGTTACACTTGCCGGGCAAAGCAGCTCAAACCACTCGAAGTGCAGGAATTTGCACTGCACCTTGTCAATTCCAATCTGCAGATTGAGCCATTTAATCTTGCTCTTTGGATGGTTTGGAATGGAACTCCTGCTAAAGACTCTCTGACCACCTCTATACCAAGAGAACAGGAGGTCCTGCAACTTCTGGTCAAAGCTGGTGCTCATGTAAACAATGAGGACGACCACGCGTCATGTATTGTACAACAGGCCCTGGAAAGAGAGGACTCAATACGGACATTACTTGACAACGGGGCATCTGTAAACCAGTGCGACTCCAGTGGGAGAACTCTGCTGGCCAACGCTGCATACAGTGGAAACCTCGACGTGGTCAACTTGCTCATATCAAGAGGGGCAAACATGGAGCTAGAAGACAACCATGGACAAACGGCACTTACTCTTGCTGCGAGGCAGGGCCATACCAAAGTGGTCAACTGCCTAATTGGTTGTGAGGCCAACATAAACCACACAGATCACGATGGATGGACAGCCCTTCGCTCAGCAGCTTGGGGTGGACACTCCGAGGTTGTATCTGCTCTGCTTTATGCCGGTGCCAAAGTGGACTGTGCTGATGCAGATGGTAGAACGGCTTTGAGAGCTGCTGCTTGGGGAGGCCACGAAGACATAGTGTTAAACCTTCTTCAGCACGGGGCTGAGGTCAACAAGGCAGACAATGAAGGAAGAACAGCTCTCATTGCTGCAGCATACATGGGACATCGGGAGATTGTTGAGCACCTCTTGGACCACGGGGCCGAAGTTAATCATGAAGATGTGGATGGGAGGACTGCCCTCTCAGTCGCTGCTCTCTGTGTTCCGGCAAGTAAAGGCCATGCTTCTGTTGTGAGCCTTCTGATTGACAGGGGAGCAGAGGTCGACCACTGTGATAAAGACTGCATGACTCCCCTCCTGGTGGCTGGCTATGAAGGACATGTCGATGTAGTTGATTTGCTCCTGGAAGGTGGAGCTGATGTGGATCACACAGACAATAACGGTCGTACTCCTCTTCTTGCTGCTGCATCAATGGGCCACGCCTCTGTTGTCAACACATTGCTTTTTTGGGGGGCTGCTGTTGATAGCATCGACAGTGAGGGAAGGACGGTCCTGAGCATTGCATCGGCTCAGGGTAACGTGGAGGTGGTCAGAACTCTGCTGGACAGAGGTCTGGACGAGAATCACAGGGACGATGCAGGCTGGACCCCGCTACACATGGCTTCGTTTGAGGGCCACCGCCAAGTGTGCGATGCCCTTATCGAGCAAGGTGCTCGTTGTACAGAGGTTGATAATGATGGTAGAATACCGCTGATATTAGCTGCACAAGAGGGACATTATGACTGTGTGCACATTCTTCTGGAAAACAAGTCATGCATTGACGAGAGGGGATATGATGGGAGGAATGCTCTCAGGGTGGCTGCACTAGAAGGCCACAGGGACATCGTTGAACTGCTGCTGAGCCACGGTGCTGACATAGATTACAAAGACGCAGATGGTCGCCCAACACTCTACATATTGGCACTTGAAAATCAGCTGGCCATGACAGAGTATTTCCTTGAAAATGGAGCAAATGTGGAAGCTTGTGACACCGAGGGCAGAACGGCCCTCCACGTGTCCTGCTGGCAAGGGCATGTTGAAATGGTGAGGCTGCTGATTAACTATCATGCTGATGTGAACGCCTGTGACAATGAGAAGCGATCTGCCCTCCAGTCTGCTGCATGGCAAGGACACCCAAAAGTGGTGCAGTTTTTGATAGAAAACGGCACCCATGTGGATCATACATGCAACCAGGGAGCAACAGCACTAGGCATAGCTGCACAAGAGGGTCACATTGACGTTGTGCAAATACTTCTTGAAAATGGCGCTGACCCCAACCACGCTGATCAGTTTGGACGCACAGCAATGAGAGTGGCAGCCAAAGGTGGCCATACAATGATCATAAAACTTCTGGAAAAGTATGGGGCCACAACTCTAAATGGCTGCAATCCCTCCCCAGTACACACCATGGAAGAAAAAACCCCATTGGCGGTAACTGGCAAAATGCAGTCACTTACCATTAAATCAAGTAGCTCTGGAAGCACCGGGGCAGGAGATATGCAGTCGTCTGGACGTGGTTTACCCAACGGACCTGTCCATGCTTTCAGTTCGCCATCAGAATCTCCTGATTCCACAGTAGATAGACAGAAATCTTCTCTTTCAAATAATTCCCTCAAGAGTTCGAAGAACTCCTCCTTGAGAACCACATCATCCACAGCCACAGCACAGACTGTGCCGATCGACAGTTTTCATGGACTGACGTTCACAGAACAAATCCAACAGCACTCACTGCCTCGCAGTCGGAGCAGACAGTCTATCGTGTCCCCTTCCTCCACTACTAAGTCCATTGGTCAGCAGCCATCATCTCCATCCAATGACTTTGACTGGTCTCAGTTAAAACCTGGTCTCAAGTCAACAAAGGGAAGTAAGACCGGAAATGGGACATCAAATGGTAAAGGAGCACTAGGAGACAAGAAAAAAGGCAAGAACAGCGGATCCACTCAAGGTCAGGTTCTGGAGTACGAGATGACACAGTTTGACAAGAGGATTGCCCTCAACAAATCAGTAGCAAACATCGCAGTGAAGGATCCCCATTGCAAGATCATGATTGGTGGTTCAGTTCGGCAGGAAAGGGGGCAAGGCCAAGATCAATTCTTTATCCAGCAGCAGAGCTGTTCTGAGAAGAGGAGGAATGGCATCATGACCAACCCCAACTATCATCTACAGGGTAATCAGGTTTTCCTGAGTAGGGTATCAGTTCCCCGGACTGTACAGAACAGAGGCCACCAGGATGTTCTAGAGAACTATCCCATAGGGGAAACCGAGCTAAGCCTTAAACAAGCCCTGAAACTGCAGATTGAAGGATCAGACCCTGGGTTTAACTACAAAAAGGAGACTCCATTATAGCTGGTAAGAGATACTTTTCAAAATAATCCTCCAGCATGTGCTCTTGTTGAAATACATCAAGCATTTGTCTAAAAGTTGAAATTAAGGTAAGGGTGACAGCACGTAGGCAAGCCTTTGGATTGTCAGCTCATTTACAGTGGCTAATATAGAGGCTAATAACTGACTATTAGTTGATACTGGATTACACTCAACACAACCACCATTAGTTGGATTTAATCAGACTTGCATGAAGAATGCCTCCATCTGGATAAGCAGACTTTTTCCTCCCAAACAAAACATTAACCCAAATCATTCCTATACCGTTTCAGATGTCTTGAATGCCATTCGTCATGGAGGGAATGTGCCAAAGCAACTGTTTTCATCTGCATTAAAATATTGTTCTCATCAGTGGGAGACCTCAAAATACCTAGGGACGATTGTTGACTGCTGCCTAAGGCTTATGTGAACTGATACATCGATGTGCCTACATCTGTTACAGCCTTCTTCATGTATTCGTGCAAACTATCATTTTAATTTAATGTTATGCTATTTAATAAACAGTGTATGCACTTTTAAAAGAGTAAAATGACAGACATGCATTTGTTCTATTTACTTTGTTTGTATCCCATCCATGTTGTTGAGTAATTGTTTGAGAGAAACATACCAATGCTTTTTTATTATTTTGTATTATGTTTGTTCTGTCTACTTTTTCACACTGACAGCAATGTACCACTGAGTACATTGTCACAAACCACAGGACATAACAGTAACTGATGCCATGGTATGAATTTAAGCGCATTGATAGTCTGCCTTTCTAGAGACCCCAAATACTCTGTGTTAACCTTGATCAGTGTGCTAAACCTATGTTGTGTGTAATATGTTAATAGCTATGGCAATTTACTTCACAAGTATATACAAGCATATTTATTTTTGGAAAAAAGCCACTTTTGCTGCATTTTGTGTTGCATTACGCTCTACCATGGTGCTGTGTTCAGAAGTTGCCTGCAGTTATTTTGGACTCCCAGTTTTGTTGGCTTTGTGCGTTTGTGTATTACAAATATCTAAGAAAGGAGGTGCATAGAAAATGTAAAAAAAAAAAGTTCATTTTGTCCCTATGGGATTTTTCGGTTGCTTGTGTGTGATTATTTTGTGTGTGCTTAAAAAAATATTTAAATAACCCATTGTGTACCGTCGGCAAAAGTTTGGTGCTAAGTGCAGCGATTTCAAGTGAAAGCAGCGATTTAAAGAAAAGCATTTGTCTGCAGAGTTACACGTATATAACCTACTGCAATGCAAGAAACAAAATCCAAGCTTTGTTTCCTTCTTGTCATGTGGTTAATTTCCAGTTATTCCTGCTGGATTTTTCAGGGGCATGACGCATAACGGCTCAAAAAGGGTTCAGCCATTAAGACAACTCATAGCTGTGAATGATATTGTTTGAAATGCAGAGTTGTAAAGCCAAAGTTGAAACATCCGAACTGTGTCCCACCTTCTCCCTGTGAGAAGCTGCATATCAGTTCAACAGGACTTAACCCCACGGGAGATGGAGGGGAGGAGGTGCTCGACTGTGACGCTGAGGGAACTGAAACATCTGTTTCTCATGAACTGTGCAGAGCTGCATTAGCGTTTACAGACTGTCATATTTTTGCAGGCTTTTCATATTGTCAACAGTGAGCTATTTTTTGCCAAGAGCTGGGATCGGGGGGGTAGAAACCTATCGCATGCACACTTATAAGCCCTAGTGAAAGCTCTCAGCTCTTCAGTACTACAGTAGCTCAATCGTATGCCATGAAGGGTCATAGAAGGATTCAAGGCAAGATCGGGTCTAGGAAACAGTGTTGGAGAACATACTGTATAGTCTTATTATTAAGCAGTTATCTTGTTTGTCTTGACTGTGTTTTGTCTGTCATCTTTGATTTGACTGTCAGTGATTGGGTTGTAAATAGCTTACCATGTACATTCAACTTTCATTTAAAAAGAATTCCTGTATTATATGAAGTGGAATTTTCTGATGTATATTAAAGTGCTTAATAAACATATTTGCTTTACTGCTGAACAACAAATGGTTTGCACATTTCTTCACACGCAAATATGGCTGAATATCAACAAAAATAAATAAATTTTGGCAGGCCCTCTCATTATGGAGACAGGAGGACATTTAAATTAATGTCTGGTATCTGAAGTTCTACTGCAGGCAATTTTTCACGTCTTCGTCTTCTTAGTCGAAGTGCCAGATATTCCTAAATTCAAGGCCGACTGATTGATATGTCTGGGAAAAGCTTGTCTTAGCACTGATGCTCCATTGACTTTCTCTGCATTATTTTGAAGATAGCTAATAAAAAGGACAGCAAAAAGCAAGACAGATGATTGAAAGGAGAATGGCAACTACCAGAAACTGACAAGTCTGCAGTGACTGATTATTTTTCCTCTCTTGTATCCATTCCTGCTTCAGTTAACTATTGTTTCCTTTGAATCCAGAGGCCTTTTTTTTATCCACTGAAGTGTTTTCTCTCCTGTATTGGGGCTGCAAAACCACAGGCTATGCTGTTAATACCTACCTCACTGTTGGTCATTTAATGTTGAAGGGCCAAACCAGGACACTGCAGGCATCACAACACATGGATCAAGCTGAAGTGGAACAGACGAGTGTGCCAAGTAGTATCACCGCCCCCCTTCCCTTCCAGTTCACTCAGTTCACTTCAGACAAACAGGAGCTGCAAGAGGGATCAAATACAGCGATGGCTCAGTGCTTTGAATGAAATCTTACAAAAGTACATAGTTTATATATTAGGTACTGTAACTGGATTCCTTGGTTGTCATTATGAATCATGTTATTCAAATGCAAAATTCTAAGCCAACTTCAGCTGTGTTACTATTGCATTTCACTGAATGAGCAGCATTTCAGCTTTTGGCCCAAAGACTAAGGACTGGACAGAGTTGTCACACTGACTAATTAGGTTTAATTTCCATCACCCAACATTTCATGAAAAAATGTGCCAGAGCAGCTAAAGCGGTATTAAGATTTTTGGACTTTGAGCACAGCCTTTCCTGTATGTTTTGAGAGGGTGGGTGTTAATGAGTAAACCATCTGGTACTGATGTCATGTAGTATGCACTGTCCAGGCTTGGAGGATCTCCTTGTGAACCATCTGCCAATGGCCACATCTGGTTCTTCTCCACCCAGGCCCTTGTTTTGGATACAGTGCTAACAAGCTCCCACGCTATATACACAACATGGCGACAGTTGTGGCCGACTCATTCCAGACACAACTTTAAACCCAGTGGCCCTCATCTATGTGCCATCAAGAGCCATATGCGTGCAGGTTTTCAGTCCAGGAAAACACTTTAGCAAAAGATTTTTCTGATTAGCACTTTTTGAAGTGAAATCAGCTGCTCTGTTGTTTGGTTGTACTGGAAATCTGCGTACATTTGGCTCTAAACTGGCTCAAGGTAATTATCAAATCAAAAAATTCTGTTGATTCGTGCGTCCTTGGAACATTTTTTCCCAGCTTGCCTTTGAAAGAAACAGCTTCACAAGAATGCAAACATTGAAAAGATATCTTTGCAGTTTGGCAGGATTGTGTGCCTGTCTTCATGCTTCCAACTCTGTGTGTGATCACATATGTTGTGTTTCAGTATAGCTCATCATTACGGAGTACAGATGTTGTCACAAGACGGTGATACATTAGCCTTTTTGACAAGCCTGTGCGTACTATAACTACAGTCTGTCAGAGAGGGTTTTCAAGAATTTTTGTTTTCAGTTGGTGGAAAATGGAAGTGCAGTGGGCCTAAACTGACAATGAAGGGTCCTTTTCAAATGTATCCTCAGTCATGTGACTATGGTATGAATGAGCACAAAGCACAACATTGCTGGGAAAGAGCATGTCCTCCACAAAGCTTGTTTTCCTGGAGAGATTTGTTTTCTTTTTCGATCACATTCCTGATTATACACTATAACCGCAAAGAGGAAACACCCCACACACTCAATTTCATAGTGTAGTAATCAATTAACTTCGATTAATACATCTTTTTTTTATGGCATAACTATCAACTGTGGATGAAATGCTAGAATATATACATTTGCATTGCAAAATTGACTCATTCTACAACTCCCACAGCATACATTAAGTGCATGACTTTTTAAGAGTAGGCTACATCTTGTCAGGCCATTTTTATTCTCCAAATGTTAATTGCTGTTCTGGGAAACTGGCATCCGTACAAGCATAAATAGTCAACTTCTGCAGATCAATGCCAGCAGTGATTTGGTGAGGAGGCAGCCAAGTGTCAGACTCATGGAGAAATTTTACAAAGGGGTATTTAAATCTGTCCATCCATTTTTATAATGACACAAGTGCAGCCATGCAGAGCCCTTCATCATACGGGGTTTCAAATTAGATTGACTGGAGTTGCCAGTGTAGGAGTGTTGTTCAAACTGTGAGGTGACTTTTTTCACCCCCTGAACTCACAGCAATTACTCGACAATCCAGAAGGGGAAACGACTGCAATTTCAGTATTTTTGAATGGAAATTCATGTTCCAGTTGGAGGTCAGCTAACGTTAAGAGAGGGTTTAAATGCTTTCATAGCCACATTTACTTAATGTTATTGTTTTCGCATGAGTTAGATGTTTTGTCGGTTTCCCCTCCTTTATTAATGTCTGCATTGTTCAAATTTATCCAAGAAAGACTTTAGCTGACCACGCCTGTTCTCAGCAGAGGATTACATTTACACAATGTGTACCTAGCAGCTGCTCTTAAAGTGGGCTGATGGAACTTTTCAAATAAGGAATAGCACATTGATTCTCTCAGAAATGAAAAGTTGAAAGGAATAAAACACACCCTTGCTCGAAACTTAAGATAGACATAGCTGTTTAACTTACATTACAGTCAGTTCACTGACTTTATAGCTTCATCTCTACTTGTGCTACTGTTATACTACGTTTTAGTCTTCACCACTTGTGGCCACAGTTGTTGCTGTTGAGCAAAAGTCACATAGGATCACTTTAAAAGAGTCTGGGCCTATTTCCCCAGCTGAGTATATTGAGATTCCTCATGCATATTTTTAAAATCAACTGATTTCTTTACCTCTTGTAATGAGCAAGGAATTGCAACACCAACAGCTCTCTGGCAAGGCTTCTGTGACCTGTCGCGGACATAAAAAAGTTACACTTTGGCAACGGTGATAAGGAGTAAACTGACTACTATCAAATACAGACATTTTGGCAACCGAAAGCACTGGTATTTGACAACCTGGAAGCATGAACGCCACCTGTTGTGTTGTGTGAGTTGCTCTTAACCACTTGGTTTGTTTCACCTTACCGTTGGTAAGGAGACTCAACGATATATATATTCTCCAACATTAAATGAGGACTGTGGATTTTGTCCCCCATTTCCTAGGCCTACAGGTGACATATGAGTACTAAAAATCCAAAACACATCTTGTATTGACTAACTGCCTTTATCCCTTCATGCCTCCATTCTCATTCACGAGAGGTAACAATCAATGATGATCTCGACATCAGCCATAATTCAGAGAACCACAATTGCATTTGTAACTTTTGCTTTAGTTCCAACAACCTCAGAAGCAAGTTTGAAAGCCAGAAATCTCTGACCCTCCTGAAGTAGTCATTTAGTCATTGGTATTGATCAAAAACCCCATCATCCCACTGCAGATACATTATGATCACTTTGTGCTGCTGGGCAGTATAAATCTTAGTTATAGCTCCTATAAACTTTTAGACTCCCACAATGCCAACAAGCAGTAATCACAAAGTTGGTTTCAGATGCTGTTGTGACAGCCAGCCTGCTGAATTTTATACTCTTTACTGGCAACAGTTCAAACACAGAGCGTTTGAGTTGAACAAGGCTGTTCTAGTCTAGAATTGTGTCAGTGGAGTACAACAGGTGGGGACAGGGGTATTCATGAGCCCTTCAGGAACCATGCATTTAAAAAAACGGCTTAAGAGACCTGCTTGTGCTCATTTGCTTTCATAAACCGATCTATCAAAAGGAGCGAGTGTACTCTTATGAATTCAAATTTTTTCAAAAGAACGATTTTTCTTCTTTCAAACCGTCCCCTCCTATCTGTTGCAGTGCAGAGGAAGTTGAATACAAAATTTGGAAAAAAGCCTGCTCTTAAAAACAGGCAGCTATGAAAGCAGTCTCCGCTTAGCAACAATGAAGTAACTCATGGCCAACAAAGCTGGAGGATGGGAGATTAAACATACTGTATTCCTCTTTGTTGCCTGTTTACATAATCCCTACAGTCTCTCATCAAGGAGCCTGGATGAAAAGCTTTCATCAGCTCTCTCTGGAAAACCTGTTTCCTTCTTTGAAGCTCAACACAGTGGCCCAACATGCATGCAGGTGTTCCACTTTCACTGAACAGGATAAGTAAAACACCTAACAGTAAAATCTAAAGTCAAAATGTCTGCGTCTCGTCAGACAAAACACTGAGACACCGGTCTTTTGAGCGCTGGGGGAGTTGGATATAGTGCACCATCATACTATGCATCATTAATCATTACGGCTGGAGCCAAGGACAATAAATGGACTCGAGCTCCAAAGGCCGACATATTCTGGTGTGGGACAAAAGCAGCTGCCCTGTAAACCAGAGAGCTCGGTGTATCATAGCTCTGTGCTGTCTTTCTGTCACGTTCAGAAGCAACCCTTGTATCTCCAAAATGTCAGCTTTTGAGCAACTTAGAAATACAGCTTTGTTTACAGCTTGAACTCAGTCGAGTTTTGAAGCCAGTCAGTGTTTTTCTAAAGGTTTTATAAGCCCAAGAGGTGAGAAAATTTTCCCAACCCATGGAGCATATAATCCTCTAATTCACCCCCATTGGAGTTACAAGGTTTGCACCCAACAGTGATGATATGTGGGAGTGGGAGTGGAATCTGTAAGAAGCAGCTGGGAATTGAACGCTTTAAATATATACAGGGGAAACTCGCAGGGAGCAAGCTGTGTCCTGTTCTGTACTAAAATGTACAAAATAATAACTGGTAAAAAGAGACTTCCAAGATAAAAAGCAGCATTGCAAACTGAATAATGTATATAACAAATTTAAAAGATGAAGATGAAGAGTTCACAAGTGAACGGTCACATTGAGCTTGTGGCAATATTCCAATGAAAGACGAAAATTGTGAGTAACCACGCGTGCCAGGTCCAATAGTATTCTGATTGTTATTCCACTGCTGAAGTACAAACTTAGTAAGAGCTCATTTTCCAAGGTTTGTCTTCACCCTCGGAACTTCCAAAAGACTGCAGAGCGTGGGTGAGTCACCATGAAATCTGAAACTGAGGTGAGTCTGGCAATGTATGTTTTTCTTCCTTTACTGTGAATAAAAGGTAAGCTTTTTCAGGAGAAGGAAAGAGACATTTTTATATACCAATACCAATACTATTTTTAAAACACATATAACAAGAAATAACAACAATTAATGCAGGGACACAGGATAAGAAGTTTTTTGGGTTAAGGATAAATGAGGAGTGTAACTTAAGCGGACTATTTTGTACCTTTTTAGTGAAATGATTTCTGTTTCTGACAAAGTTTCTTTGTCATTTCATTGATCTGACACAGAAGACTCATCTTAATTCCAAGATATCTGTAGGCTGGTAGTTAATAGATACTCCATAGACAGATACTAGAAATGTAGTGTCATCTGCATAGAACTTTAATCCACAAAGTCATTAACAAAGACATATACAAGGCCGGTCT